TGGAGGTGGGCTTTTTTCTTTTCTTTTCCTTTTTTTCTCCCCCTACAGAGAGCCAATTCAGGAATTGTCGGTTCAGGGCAGATTTTAAAATCGTATGCCACTGGGTTTCTGTCATTTGTTATATCTGTCAGCTCCTGAGTGAGAACTGGCATCTACGGTCAATGACTGAATTGCTATAGTTAAAATAACATCAAGAAATAGACATCAGAAAGTAAGTGTGGATTGTTAGATATAGACGACAAGCACTAACAGGGAAAAATCAAGGGCAGACAGAGTGATTAAGGAAAGGGTCATTAGGGGCGCCTGGGTGGCTCAGATGCTTAGGCGTCTGCCTTCGGCTCAGGTCATGGTCTCGGGGTTTTGGGATCGAGCCAGGGGTCCTGGGATCGAGCCCCATGTTGGGCTCAGCGGGGAGTCTGCTTCTCCCTCTACCTCCGCTTTCCTCCCCCCCACCCCCCTGCTCGTGTGTGCGCTCACTCTCTCCAATGAATAAATAGAATCTTTTTTTAAAAAGGCTCATTAATCAGGTGTTGAAGAATGGATAAGATGTAAACAGCCAGAGAGCAGCACTCCCATGTTAAGAAAGACAAAAACAAGGAAAGGGTGAAGGGACAAAATCAACATGGTGTAGCACTGATGACAAGACAGCAGTGTGACTCCATGTTGGGGACAGTGGGGGATGCTACTGGTCCAACAAAGTGGGGCTAGATAACTGAGGGTATGGAGGGAAGCTTGAGGGGCTGTTAATAGACCAGTGAAGGAAGGTCTTGAGCAGAAGAGCAAGGTGATGAAGGAAGTGTTTAAAAAAATGAAGTCTGGTTATGGAATGAATAAGTCACGGGGATGAAAGGAACAGCATATGGAATATAAGCCTGTACTAGCAGTGTAAGGGGACACATGGTAGCTACACTTCTGGTAAGCCTAGAATAACATACAGACTTATCCAATCACTATATTGTATATCTGAAACGAATGTAACATTGTGTGTCAACTATGCTCAAATTGAAAAAAAAAAAAAATCAGCTCTGAGAGAACAGTGCAGGATGGGCATGAAGGGAGAGCCCAAAGTAAAGGGTGGCCACTGGAAAGACGGTCATAACCTGGTGAGCCAAAGGGGTCCAGGGTCTATGCTGGGGATGGGGGAGTCACTGGGAATAGAGAGGAGCCCAAACAAGGAATTAGAAGGATCTGTTGACTGGGTGTAAAGGACGGAGGAAGTCAAGCTGGGTTGGAGGGCAAGAAGGCTTTTGGACATGATGAATATGAAGTAAGAACAGGACATTAAAGTCTGAAATACCCAGGAGCAGATAAATTATAGAATGGGATCTCGGAGAAAGAAATGGATCCCAACTAGAGACTTAAGAGCCTTCTATAGAGAAGGGAAATCTGAAGTCCTAGAATGAGAAAGAGAAAGGAAAAGTGCATAAGAGCACAACAGTGATCAACAGCTGAACCTCGAGGCCATTTCAAAACTGGAAGTTCACAAGAATATGGGCGCAATGAAAGGAACAGAAAAGGAGCTATCAGTGTGGAATAAAAATTTAGGATCCTAGGGTCACAGAATGAAAGGAGTTTCAAGAAGGACTTGGTGATAGATGATGGATGACAGGAAAGGGCCAGAGCATGTTAAAGATACCATTATATTACTTACAAATGAGCAGGGGTTTTCCCCCTCTCCACTACTGACATTGTATATACAATTACGTAATGGATTAGTGGACAGAAAAAGGGGTTTTATGGCTATAAGACATGCTCTGTTTTGGGCGCCTGGGTGGCTCAGTCGTTAACTGTCTGCCTTCGGCTCAGGTCATGATCCCAGGGTCCTGGGATCGAGTCCCATGTCGGGCTCCCTGCTCGGCGAGAAGCCTGCTTCTCCTTCTCCCACTCTCCCTGCTTGTGTTCCCTCTCTCGCTGTCTCTCTCTCTGTTAAAAAATCAATAAAATCTTAAAAAAAAAAAAAGACATGCTCTGTTTTATGGGTTTTTTTTAAGATGTATTTATTTTGGAGAGAGAGAGCATGCATGCGCACGCACGACTGGAGGAGGGGCAGACGGAGAGAAACTTCAAGCCGACTCCCCACTAAACATGAAGCCCCACACAGAACTTGATCTCAGGACCCATGAGATCATGACCTGAGCCACCAAGAGTCGGACGCTTAACCCACTGAGCTACCTAGGCACCTCTGTTTTATGGGGTTTTTTTAATGACAAGAGGGAGATATATTAAGATGCTGCCACTCTTGAGGCGCCTGGATGGCTGGCTCAGTCAGTTAAGCATCTGCCTTCGGCTCGGGTCACGATCCCAGGGTCTTAGGATCTGGGATGGAGCTGGCATGGGGCACCCTGCTCAGTGGGGGGCCTGCGTCTCCCTCTCCCGCTCCCCCTGCTTGTGCTCTCTGTCAAATAAATAAATAAATAATCTTTAAAGTTGATGTTAAAAAAAAAAGATGCTGTCATTCTCTGTACAGCCAAGATAGTTATCAAAAATGAAAGATAATTCTGTTACTATGGATTGAGTTTGAGGAATGTCATTTGGAATTTGTACTCTTCTGGGAGCTACACTGTTATACAGAAGTAATGACCCTGCAGATGCTGAGTACTAGCCATATATTTTAAGTGTGTGGGTAGCATATTAAAGTGTGCAAGTTGTGACAAAAGTTATAAAAATATCCCAAAGCATTTAAAACTGCTAGAGGGATTAAGTTGGCTAAGTACATGCAAGTATGATGTGTTTCTGGCATCTCAAGAACCCCTTGAGCAGTAAAGCCTCTCAGCTGCTCATGAAATACCCAGTCTGTGTGCAGGGTTTAGCCTGAGCCAGACTTGCATCTACTTTGAATTTTAGTTGTGAACCATCTTGGGAAGGCATCACAGCCAGAATGCAATGTTTCTGGTCATTTGTGGGTGTTAAAATCACTCCAATTGAGCGACGGAGATGATATTAGAGGAAGCCCCATGCCTTTTCCACTGTCACTAATGGACTGGAAGCCGGCTGCTGAGATAGGTGTGTGAACTACTGTGCAAGAAAGGCCCTCTCCTTTCCCCCAAATGAAACAAACAAATTAATGATTAATAGTGATCACAGGCAGATCCAGGTTTTGAGGGGCCTGAAGCTCATGATTTGGGTGTCCTCTTTAAGAAACAAGGATGCAAAATTACCAATACAAGACACAGTATGAAGCTATTTATCCAGAATGAGAAGCAGAAGGCACCTGCAGTTGTAAGGTCATAAAGCATGAGGGTTGCCAGCTACCGGGTAAATCCACCTCTGCTCACGACCAACTACTGGGAAGAAGGTGTGGAAAGGGAGAAACAGTAGGTAATCAGGCAGAGGGAAAATAAAAGACAAAACACTCCTTAAGGAATAGTGGAGCACAGAACAAGAAAAGGACAAAGATAAAATCCCAGAAAGAACCCCAAATTGTGAAAGCGGACGGTATGGAGATGGGGGAAGAGAGAGAACCAATCAATTTATACACCACACAATCAGAACACTGATTTCCCAGTGATCAACAATCACGTTGCTTCTAGGAGGCATGCATGGGAGGACTAGGTTTTTGGAAAGACCAGTTCTCTTCACTGCAGGCACTCGGCAAGTGTTTGTTGAATGAATGAAGGGATGAATGAATAGAAACAAGAGAAATATACTTCTTTTTCTTACTCTCCACCACGGTCTGCTTTCTTCCGATGCTCCAACATACAGGCATGTTTTTGCTAGCACTGGCTTCAGTGTCAAAGCAACAGCTCAGGCCAACCTCTCCTCTGGCGATTCAGACTACTGATCCTCAAGAGATCAAGTCAAAAGCTATCTCCACTCAAAATTAATTTTTAAGCATGTTCAGAGTCTCCCCCCCACAAAAATTACACATACAAATAGCTACTATAGGGCCATCCTACTTCCTCCCTTCGACCTTCTTTCTCCCTCTTTCTACATTAGATCCTGCAGGTATATTTCAGAAATTAACACCCTCCCAGGTCCTGGGCAGATTCATGTGGGATTCTAGCTAGGGCTGAAACACAATTCCTAAATTTCAAATTTTAGCAATTATGACAGCCTATGTGACAATTGAATATATCAGTCATGATGAGGTTTCCAGGAAGATACAGGCAAGCCTCATGCACTTGGTCAGCTGCAAACCTAAGACAGGACCAGGGGAACCCAGACTCACCAGCTCCATACAGGACAGGATTCGGTCACTGGGAGCTCTTATGAAAGGACACAACAGGGCATTCCCTGACCAGCTGTGGGCCTCTGCTTCACAAAGAGATTCCCTTTGGGCAATACATGCCCTACACCTTCCTACAAGTTCTAAAAAAAAAAAAAAAAAAAAAACAGCCGGAGTAGGTTAAAACTAAGAGCCCACCCTCTCTCCTTTAAAAAAAAAAAAACAAAAAACTTTTACTAAACGATTCTTCCTTCCTCTTCACTTACCAAATTTTCTAAGGAAAAGTGCTTGGAGAAGAGCAGAACCAGAATAACACTATTACTACTTCAATACTACAAAAATCCCAACACTGATGTTTTGTTTATGGCAAAGGACCTGAAATCAGTGAGGCGAAGCAGCCACCTCAGGGATTAGAAGTGAAGGTCTTGAATGGAAAAAAATCATTCGGCCACTTTCTGGCTAAGTAGTCTGACCTCTGGAAAGTTACTGAAAGTCTCCAGACCTCAGTTACTTGGTTTTGTAAAATGGGGGCGAGTACCCATCTCACAGGACTGCTGAGGATTGAGGAAATGCAAGTAAAGTACCGAATATAACTGCACAGCGAGAGTTCATTAAATGCTAGTATTTAATAGTAGTAGTAAAATTATTGTTCTGTCCAGTTCACACCACCAGCAAAACTGGCCCAACCCCCACTCTCGCCTCGCAGGGTCCGGGGCCGGGCACTGTTGCACTCCAGCATGCATGAGAGAGATCCCCAAATGCTGCGGCGCTACGGCAAGCCCCCCACCCCGGGCCGGCCAGGGGCCCTCAGGTTACCGCTACGGTCCATACTGACCTGAGATGCCGCCTCCTATCACGACTACGTCGAACATGTGGTCCGCGGTGCTCGCCGTCTCCCCACTCGCCATGCTCTGGTTGCGACTCTCCCGGGGCGTAGGTAGAGGAGTGGAGCGGGACAAGGGCGGGGCGGACCCTTCTACCCACTCTCGGGGGGAGTCCGGGGGCGGAGCCGATTCTTCCACCGACACCCGGGCAGAGCCCGGCACTGAAGGCGGAGCGGCCCCTTGTACTACTCCTCCAGGGGAGTCCGGGGGTGGAGCCGATCCTTCCGCGGATGTTCGGGGGGCACCTGGCACTGAGGGCTGGGTGGACCCTTGTGCCGACCCTCGGGAGGAGCTCCTGGGCGTAAGAGGTTCTTGTACCGAATCCCGGGGGGAGCCGGGCACTGAGGGCTGGGTGGACCCTTGTGCCGACCCTCCGGGGTTGTTCCTGAGCGTGAGAGGTCCTTGTACCGAATCCTGGGGGAAGCCGGGCACTGAGGGCGGGGTGGATCCTTGCACCGACGCTCGGGAGGACTCCGAGAACTGGGGCGATCCCTGCTGCGAAGCCGGGAGGGAGCTGAGCTCTGAGGGCGGGGCGAACCCTTGCACCGACACTCGGGAGGAGTCCCAGATCGGGGCAGATCCTGGCAGCGAACTCCGGGGGGAGTTGAGCACTGAGGGTGGGGCGGACCCTTGCATCGACACTAGGGAGGAGTCCGAGAGCACAACAGATCCGTCCACTGATAGTCGGGGGGAGCGGGGTCCTGAGAACTGCAAGGACCCTTGCAATGACTCTACGGGGGAGTTATTGGGTGTGGGAGGTCCTCGCACCGAACTCCAGGAGCTGATCACTGAGGGCGGGGCGATCCCGTCTGCTGACACTTGGGGATTGGTACTGGGTGGACGAGGTGCTGGCATCGATACCTTGAGGAAGCCGGGCGTCACGGGCGGGCCAGAACCTTGCACTGGCTCTCGGGTAGAGTTGGTGGATGTAGGAGGTCCTGGTACTGATACTCGGGGATGGCCGAGCACTGCGGGCGGGGTGGACTCAGGTATCGACCCTACAGGGGGGCCTGAGGGCGGGGCAGGTCCTGGTATCGGTACCCGGGGATGGCCTGCGTCCGGGTTGGAGGCTGCGGCGGCCCCATCAGCGGTGCTCAGGCCGGTGGCAGACATGGGGATCTGGTGGTTCAGGCCGTGGGCGCCGAAGCCCCAGAGGCCAATCCTAGAGTCTGTGTTGGTCCTCGGGCCAGGACTGGAGAGGAGTTGGGCGGGCGCGCCGGAGCTCTTCTCGTATCCGGGGTCCGCTCTGGACGCGTTCGACAGGAAGCTGGAAAACGGACTGGAGAAAGTCCGCCACTCAGAACCGATGCTCAACCCGGACGCGGAGGATGTGGCCGCGCCCAAGCTGGAGTCCGGGTCGGAGATCTGGGCAGCTGTGCCCCCGGCTCCGGGCGCGCGCTCCGCCTCGCTGTCCCTCTCGCCGCCGCCACCTCGGGAGGCGGCCGAGCCGTTTGCGCTCCTGGTTGTGGAGCGCGCCCGGGCGGGAGCCGACATTCTGCTCCCCGCCCCTCTCCTACGGGCGCGCGCCTCGCCAGCTCCCCGGGGTCTCGGCCCCGCGCGCTCCCGAGGCCGCCCCAGGATCCCAGCCTACTGGGCGGCGGGGGAGCCTAGGGCTACCGCAGCTTGGCTCCGCCTATTTCTCCGGCCCCGAGGGGCGGGCGACGCCACCGAAGGGCGCTGCGGCGGCCCCGTGGGGGTTTCAGCCTAGTGCTTTTATTCTCAGCGCCATAACTAAAAGAGGACTGGGCCAGGTGGGCTAAGGGAAGCGGGTATTTGAAGGACGGGGACCTGGACGGCAGGGTCGCAGGGGTGCGGCACACTAGGGTGGGCTCCTTTGTGACGTCACAAGAGGCTGGGTGAGGTGTGCGCAGCCGCGGGCCCCTCCCTAGGGAGGGGGCGGGGTGAAGTGGGCACTGTCACTTGGGGCCGCCTGGGCGATTATTGATTCTTTGTGGGGTTGTCCAAGCTGAGGTGCTTGACCCAAATCGAAGCAAGTAGGGGAGAAAATTAAGAACTCACTTACCAGGGGCTCCTGGGTGGCTCAGTCGGTGAAGCCTCTGCCTTCGGTTCAGGTCATGATCCCAGGATCTTGGGACGGAGCCCCCATCAGGCTCTCTGCTCAGCGGGGAATCTGCTTTTCCATCTGCCAACACCCCCCCTTATGTGCTCTCTCTCTCTCTCAAATAAGTAAATAAAGTCTTTAAAAACAAAACAAAACAAAAACCCCTCAGCTGTCAGATTAAGTGGGACCTGCACTTTAAAAGTGAAGATAAGGGCTGAAATAAAGCAAAAAAACAGGTGTTTTCCCATCCTACCAAAAAGAGAGATATTTAGTGAACATATTTTACTGTACAACCAGCGTCTTGCTAGTTTTATCCCTTCTTTAAATTTCCACTTTATCCTCCTAGAGCTGATTTTGTCATCACTAGAACCCTCAAAACAGATATAATTATAACATCTAGAGTAAGTGGTGAGAACTCCAGGAAGTTAACTAGAATCCGTGCCCACCTATAAATATTTCTCCTTGCTCCCCCCAATTGTGTACCAAACAATCTTGTTGAAGAAACTGTAAGGGAATATAGATATAGTCTTTTCTTTATCCAGTTTTTTAAAGATTTTTTTTTAATGTATTTGAGAGAGAGAGCATAAGGGGGTGCAGAGGGAGAGGGAGAAGCACACCCCTGCTGAGCTGGGGTGTGTTAGATCTTGTTAGACTCTGAAGCGAGGAAAGAGGAAATAATAGATATAAAGAATTCAGACCTTTCTAATATGATTCTTCCAACTTTGTCCTTATCCCTGTTATGTTTATTTCTTTTCATTCAAATATTTGATTTCATACTATGTGCTAGGCACAGGGCAAAGTACTGGGGTTGCACAGGCAACACAAGACAGCCAAAGAACTTCATCCTACAGTCTGCTAGAGGAGCTAGTGAAGGAGACAGGCAACCACATGCTTGATGTGTTCAAGTAAGCTCTGATAAATGTTATGTTGGAAAGGTTCCTAGTAATAAGAAAGTGTTAGGGTGTCTTGACCACTCCGGAGGTTAACTTTGGGGACGTGTGTAAAAATATCCCAGAAAGGGCCCGGGTGGCTCAGGTGGTTGAGCGTCTGCCTTCAGCTGGGGTCATGATCTCAGGGTCCTGGGATTGAGCCCCATTGAGCTCCATGCTCAGCAGGGAATCTGTGCTCCCTGTCTCCCTCTGTACCCGCCCCCGCTCGTGTTTGCACACACTCTCTATCTCAAATAAATAAATAAAATCTTGAAAAAAAAAAAAGTCCCAAAAAGAGGGAACAATGTGGGCAAAGGCCCAGTGGTAGAAAGAAGCATGGTTCCTTGGCGAAGCTGAAAGCCAGACAGTGGAGCTAAGCAAGGGGAAGAAAGGAGCACAGAAGACAAAACTGCTGAGGTTAGCTGGGCCAAAGTAAGACCCTTGGTCTGTATTCTAAAGCAGTGGAAGCCATTGCAAGGTTTTAAGCAAGGGGTGATACGACTAGGTTGCATTTTGAAAAGGTCTATCTGCCTGCTGTGTAAATAATGGGTTGAAAGGGACAAGGGTAGATAGATACAGGGAGACCAAAGCTTGGAATTCTTCAAAGAAAGAGGTGATAGTGTCTTGGACTAAGGTGGGTGATGGCAGCTGGAGAGCTGTGGACATATTAGAGACACTTACATGTAAAATTGACAAGACTTGGTTGTGGCTAGAATCTGGAAGATCATGAGGCTAGTTTTGGACATGTTCAGTTTCAAGTGACTTTGAGACATCCAGATGAAGGTTAGAGAGTAGACAATTAAACATAGAGCCTGAGATGAAAAGCAGGAGTTTGCCTGGAGACAAAAATGTGGGATTCTTATTAAATAAATAATGGATGGGTTAGATGAGTGGGAATATGGGTATTCTCTTCATTTTATTTGCTTGTATTGCATATTTTGCATATCTTTTGTAATAAAAACAATAAAAGTTATTTTAAAATAGATAAATAAAGGAACAATTTCGACATACCCTACAATTATTATTTCTTCCCTTGTGTGACCTTGGGGAAATTACTTAGCTTCTCTGTGCCTATCTCCTCAAATATAGGATCCCGTAAGCCGTTGTATCTGTCAGGGTCCCAGGAGGAAACAGCAAACTCTAATTAGATCATTTGGAGAGATTATCAAAAAGGAAATATTTTAGGGGCGCCTGGGGTGGCTCAGTTGGTTGAGCGTCTGCCTTCGGCTCAGGTCATGATCCCAGAGTCCTGGGATCGAGCCCCGCATCGGGCTCCCTGCTTGGCGGGGAGCCTGCTTCTCCCTCTTCCCCTGCTCGTGCTCTCTCTCTCTTTCAAATAAATAAATAAAATTTTTTAAAAAAATTAAAAAAGGAAATATTTTAAAAGAGGTAGGCAAGATGAAGAGAAACCACAGGGAATCACGCCGTATCCCCAGGCAGGTGAGAACAAGAAGGCATCATTGTGAAGGGGTAAAGGGAGAGAACAGTTATCAGAACCTGGTGACAGTGGTGTTTGGTGGGGGCTGCCTACACAACCTGTGGCCTTTAGTTCAGGGAGGCTTTCAGCCACAGGAAACTCACAGAGAGGGAGCCAGGACAAATAATACCCAAATTTCCTCTCTTGCCTCCCCCGGTCCTCTCCATTGACCTACGCCAACCAGATGCTAGAAGGCAAGGGATCCTGTTGATGTAGCCCATACCAGTTAGAAGAAGCTGGAGAAAAGCAGTGGGTGCACCCGGAAAGGCCAAGGGAAGATATCCAGTATCCTCGTAGTGAGGGTTCAATGAGCAAATACAAAAAACTTAGATAATGATTCAATACATACTCACATTTTAATTTCTAAAAACTGCATTATATTCATGTCATGGACGTACTTTACTGGACTGTTATCCTCTAACATGAAGCATGTAATACTTTCTAATTGAATACTTTCTAAATGAATATTTCTGTGCATAAAATATTGTACATACTTTTTTAGAATTTCCTTGAGATAGAGTCCTAAAACCCCTAAAATTGTGGGGTAAGAGAGTGGGAGCTTTTCTAAAGCTCTTTGATTGAAGTCACCAAGTTACTTGCCCAAGAGATCATACAAATTTATACTTCAACAAAGTCTAAGAATGACAGTCTAGGGCCGTAGGATCTGAACAAAGCTCTCATTGCTCCTTCAAAAAAAGAAAAAAAAAATGGCTAAGTTCTTACTGCCCCCACTCTCATATTAAGCCATTAAGGAAGCTAACTTTTTAAACTTTCTTAACTTGAAAGGGTAAAAACCAGCATGGCTTTGCTATTTGCAAGTGTTTCTTTGATTACTGATCAAACACTTTTTTTTTTCAGATATTTATTAGCCACTTCAATTTCTTCTTTTGTGAATGATCAGTTCATGCCTTTATGTAGTTGATTTCTGTAAGTGATTTGTACAATAAGATATTAACCCCTTGCTTGGTATTTTCACTGCAGATAGTTTATTCCAATTTATATTTTAGTATTGTTTATGGCATTGTACATAAGCAGAAATTTAAAGTTTGTGTGCTTGTATCTATCTTTTAGTAATTTCTTCCATTGCTTTTAAACTTACAGATCTGAAGGATGAATTCTGTTTCCTTTTTTTTTTTTATGATTGGTTATTTTAGAATTTATTTAATCCTAATCTACTGGGATATATTTTGTTATGTAATGGGGTGAGGATCTAAATAGACATTCCATCTCGGGTTTCAGCAGCAAATAAATAAATAGACACCCCACACACCCCCAAACAGTTAACCACTCATAACAAAACTGTCTATTGAAAAATCCTTCCAGGGGCACCTGGGTGGCTCAGTCGGTGGAGCATCTGCCTTCGGTCATGATCCCGGAGTCCTGGGATCAGCCTTTGTCCGGCTCCCTACTCCGTGGAGAGTCTGCTTCTCCCTCTCCCTCTGCTCCTCCCCCTGCTTGTGCTCTTTCACTCTCTCTTTCTCCCTCTCTTGCTCTCTCAAAATGAATAAGTAAAATCTTTAAAAAAAAAAAAAAAAGAAGAAGAAAAGAAAAATCCTTCCATTTTTCATGGATTTGCTTACCTTATATAACATAAATACTGAGATCTGGCTTTGGACCATCTCTTCTGTTATATTTACATGCATATTCTCTCCACATTGCTACCAATGTCACATTGATTTACTTATAGCTGCTTCATAGTAGATTTTACCAGATAGAAGGATTAGTCCCTTCCCAATACTCTTCTTTATAAATTATTTATGATATTCTTACATATTCTTTCTGTTAATATATTCCTATATATTTAAATGAATTTTAGAATCATTTCATCAATTAATGGGGTGGTGATTATTCCTAAACATTAATCTAGGAAAGTCTCATTTAACATCTTCTTATTTTTATTTTTATTATTATTATTATTTTAAGTAAACGCTATGCCCAAGGTGGGGCTTGAACTCACAAGCCTTAGATCAAGAGTCCTATGCTCTACCGACTGAGTCAGCCAGGTACTCCTAACATCTTTTTAAAAAGATGTCTTTATTTCCAGAATATTTATAGGAAATGGTTTTACTTATCCCTGAAATTAAATAATTTTGTGAGAATAATGTGGGTCTGTGTGTGTATGGGTGTATGCGTGTG